ATGTAATATGTAATACATAAATAATTATTTAAAATGAGATAATTGATGTAATAAATTTTTTAAAAAATTATAATCATAATAAATAATTAAAAAATAGTATCGAAATAATAAATAAATTTATTTTTTATTTTTATTTAATTTATTTGTTTTTATTTTTTAATTTTTCCTTCTTTTTCCTTTTCATTCTTCAATATGAACTGACTTTTTTCGTATTCTTTATGAAAAAAAAAGCCTCACACCTTGTTAATTAGAATTAAAAAATATTACAATAATAATTACACTGAAAATTAGTTTTATATTTTATTTATTATAGATTTTAGCAATCTATTTTTATTAATTTTAAAAAGACTGATTTTAATATTCGTTTTAAGTATGGATTTTTTGTACATTTATTCTTTTGATGTCAATTTATTGGTACATATTTATTTATTATATTATTTAGTGTAATAATTTATTAAACAAAAAAATTAGTCCTTACATACATTAATAATCATTGTGCTTTGAAACATTTCTGACCTTCAGTTGTGGGTCCCACTCCCATTAATAATTAGCTTATCAGATAAAGCAATCCACATGGAATGCAATGGGTCCACGCGTCATATCTCCCGTTGTTTTGGGTCCACTTGAAGCTCGCGCGCTATCAGTAAATCTCAACCGTCAATCTAAGATGCCCCCCAAATTCTTGCAACGTGTAAACATCGGCCTCACGATTATAACTGCAACTCTCCTTACTGAAAGATTCCCTCCCAAGCCTCTCTCTCCAGCACCGTTGTGGAGCCCTTGGATGCATCTTACGGCTGAAAAAGATGTTAGGTGATATAAATAGTATATATTTAATTTTTTTTATATGTTAAAAACTCGTTGAGACGGATATTTCCTTTTTTTTATTACAGATATGTAATATAATGGAAGAAATTTTGCTGAACAATGATAGAATGGAATAAAGAAAAGTTAGAAAACTAAAAGATCAATAATAAACAAATAATGAAATTACACTTTATTTTAAAGTAAATATTTCAAGTCAGAGTTAATTTCATTCTTTAAGTGTATAAAATATCAAAAAATGATAATAATAATAATAATATAATAACTAAGTGTACATTTGAATTGGAATAAATAAACCGTACCTAATTAAATAAATAAGATAATTAATACAAGTCATTATATTTTTCACCTTATTTTTTCAATTTATCTAAATAAAAGGCAATATATGTCACAAAAGATTAGACATTAGTTTCTGGTTTGAGTACACTACAGAAATTAATTTACTAAAATAAAAAAATAACATTAATTTTAAATTTACAATATTAATGGAATTAGATTAATTTTAAAATCTTCATTAACATATTTTAATATATAAGTTTATAAAAATACTGTCAAAATTTACCAAAATACACCAAGTACGAATATATTTCATAATAATATATAATATACTAAATGAATATTTTGAAAACAGTAAAAATAGATAAATAATTCTGAATTATAAATATAACTATAAACTAATTAACAATCGTAATCTATTTTAAAATTAAAATAATTAAGTTAAGTCTTAAGGGACTAGTTTTAATTAATTTCATTCACTTTCAATTGAATTAGTCAGAAACTTTATACTCAAATCAAAACAAATTTAATTTAATATCTTTTATTTTCGATTTTCTCTTTATTCAGTTAGAGTAATTTAGTTTTAAACAATATTCTTCAGCACAATTATTATATGTTACACATCTGTAGCACAAAAGAGAACTCTCCTATCATATCAACTTTTTTTTTTTTAAATATATCAAAACAATATTATTTTTAACATATATTACTTACAAAATATTATTAATAGTGTTGGTATATATGGATGCATTATTACTGCTACTTTATCAGATTCTTCATTTCTTCCACTCATCCAGCGAAGACAATTGGAGGAAAGCGCGATCCTCGTGAGTCGTGAACCCGTTGCGTTGCACTCTCCTTGGGTTTAAATCCCCTGCGACGCGCACAAGCTAGTCTCCATCGCCGGAAAATGGCCTCCGACGGAGCGACTTCGGCGGCGACGGCGAGTCGGAGGAAGCCGTCGTGGAGAGAGAGAGAGAATAACCGAAGGAGAGAACGAAGGAGAAGAGCAATCGCGGCCAAAATATACTCTGGACTTCGAGCTCAGGGGAATTATAATTTGCCCAAGCACTGTGACAACAACGAAGTTCTTAAAGCGCTCTGTGCCGAAGCTGGTTGGTGCGTCGAAGAAGACGGCACTACCTATCGGAAGGTAACAAATCAAATCAAATCACACGTTCCAACCGTTACAGCGTCACTGGATCTTACTTTTGATTTTGCATTTCATCAATCAAACGGTGTGTTTAACTTTCCATTTATGCTGCATTGCACTCAGGAACTGCAAGCTAGAAAGTATAGTTAGTCATTGTTCTCATTAACGTTAAACGAAGATTTCTAACTTAATTATTGGATTTTCTGATCTTTGTAATGAATGTGTAATTACATACGGAAAATACAGCTTCTGATAAGTGCAATAATCTCAGCTTGTTGATATACCGAAAACGGAATCAAACTTTGATGTTCGAGGTGTGTGTTAAAATTGATGGATTTATCTCTTAGGTAGAATAAATAATCGCAATTGTAAATGGAAAATATAAGTTGTGTATGTATGGATAATATTAATGGACTTTACAATCAATTACTGAGATTATTTGAGATATATAATATGAACTGATGATATTCTCATCAACTACTGGGACTGTTAGAGTTGCTCAGCCTAGGCTCTAAATTGTGTGTTTTAATGTGATTAAATTTTCTCGTCACTCTCTAGACTCTGAGTTTTTTCGTGTTAAGATGATTAATTTGCGGTGTTAACGTAGTTTTGTGTGTTTTGGATGAATAGGGTTGCAAGCCACCTCTGGCCAATGGTGCAGGGAGCTCCATGAGAAACATTCCCTTTTCCTCTTCACAGAACCCAAGTCCTTTCTCTTCGTCGTATCCCAGCCCAATTCCTTCATACCAAGTAAGTCCTTCTTCCTCTTCTTTCCCAAGCCCGTTTCGGTTAGATGTGGATAAGGACAATGTATCAAACCTCATTCCATACATTCGCAATGCATCCCTGTCTCTTCCTCCTCTGAGGATATCAAACAGTGCCCCAGTGACACCACCTCTTTCATCACCTACGTCAAGAAATCCAAAACCAATTCCTACGTGGGAGTCTATTGCCAAAGAATCCATGGCCTCCTTCAATTACCCTTTTTTTGCAGCTTCTGCTCCTGCCAGCCCCACGCACCGTCACCTTTACACCCCCGCCACTATTCCAGAATGCGATGAGTCTGATACTTCCACCTGTGAGTCTAACCAGTGGATGAAATTCCAAGCATTTGCTCCTTCTGCATCTATGTTGCCAACTTCTCCAACCTTCAATCTTGTTAAACCTGTGGTTCCTAATGGTGTGCCTGATAACTCAATACAAGAGATGAGGACGAGTTCAGAAGATTTTGGGGTACAGGTAAAGCCTTGGGTTGGGGAAAAAATTCATGAAGTGGCATTGGATGATTTGGAACTAACGCTTGGAAGCGGGAAGGTACGGGGTTAGGCTGCTAGCGGAGTTACTTCATCTGGGTCATTTGAAATTGAAGTTTCAGGTTTTGTCAAGTTTCTTGTCTGTCAAAGGTTCACAAGACCAGCTTATTTCTTAATGTCGTACATTTAGATAATATTTCTCTTCTTTTTGTTCTTGTTCTTTGTATCAAATAGTTTGTATGTGATTTTTATTTTTACCAACAGGTTTTGTAGTGAGCTCAAAGTCAACTAGTAGTCTCTGTTGTCTTTCTACCACCCCATTGATAACTTAATGAGCCCAAAGTGGAATGAACTAGGATATTTAATATGGAATTATGTTACTAGTCTCTACTCATGAAGCCATCTGGCACTTTGGGGTGTTGTTCCCTAGTTGGTGTTGTGCATCATTTGTGATGAGTTGTGCAGGAAATGAGATGGGATTTCTTAGAAAATAAATATAAGGTTTGCTGTTATGTTCTCCTTCTCGTTTGACAATTTGGTATTTTTTGCATGTATTCTTGGGTAATTTATCTGTTACTAACAGCTTCAGTAATTCATGGTTGGGTGAGGATGGTTTGGTAGTTTGCATCTTTTGCTGGGTTTCATTTTTCTTTCTTTCCTACCCTACGCTAATTCCTAGCAGCTGAGGATGGTCCATATATTTACTAGCTAAATATTTGCATGGCCATAATTTCTTGCAACAAAACAGATTTGACGAGATTTCGCTAGAAAATGTTCAAGTGATATCTGTTGAGATCAATCGTGAATTGGAAATTCTGATGAATCCTTTTGGCTAGTATCGGTTGCACAACGGAAGTTATTGGATGTTTGTAATGAAGAACAGAAGATGTAGATCCTCATGGTACCTAAAGAACTAAGGAAACTTGTTAGAATGTCTCTAAGTACTCATGGGTGACAGCTTGTGCCTGTTCATTGATTGTCTATTGTTGAATTTGGAATGCTAATAATTGGTACATGTTTACTTTCCGGAATTTGTTTAATATTTTAGTGTCTTCTTTTGGTTCATCTTTTTCGAGGAGGAATTGTTTCTTCGGTATGTTTTTGGTTGATTAAACTTTTATTTCTGTATGACTCTCCTCCATACAGTGAGGAGCTTGACACCATGATATATTAGTTTAAAATTTTACTCCTAAACCAGCGATGTATGGTGCATCTTATAATATTATTTGTTTCCATCTGATCTGGGACAGATTCGCAATCCAATTCCTGGTAATCGTTGCGTATGAAAATTTTATTTATTGTTATAAGTCTTGATACTTCTTCAACTGTCTTGGTAGACGTTTATTTATATGCCACGATCACCTTATGATTAGAATCCTTTTTACTTGACATTTCTAACTATGTGCCATTCTCATCCTTTATCATAATTCTGAACAATTCTTATAAAAAATTGAGCGGCATTTTAATGGAGTTATCTTTACTTCCATCAAATTATGGCAGATGAAGGTATAGCCAATCTGCCTTCATATCTTATCAATAGCATCCCAGTTGCTGATATTGTGGTATCTCTCTTACGAGTACTTTTTTGGTGTTTAGTTGGTCAAGTAACCAGGCTTTTGTCTTTCATATTTAATATGGCTTTGATTAATTTATGCTCTTTCTGGTTCTGGCTTCAATTTCATTCCTGTGGATCCACCTTGGGAAAATTCTAGTGCCCGCCAGAAATCAAGGTACATGAAAAGTCACACTATGTTTTCTGATGTAATATTTACAAATTTCCTGTACCATTGTCTAAATTAAAGTAGAGATTTCCATGTCAGGTAGTTCATCCTTGCATTTCCTTTAAGGATATGCCCTGTTTCCCTTTGATCTTTATTTTTCAGATTCAGGTACATTTTGCTCCAATGGCATGTGAAGAGGTGGGAACTTTTTATTTATTCTGCCCTTGCATGAAAAGAGATAACTTATGTACAAAGATGAACTCATTGGCTGTTACTCAGTTTAAATTGGTTCAATGTAGCTTATTTGAAAAAAGTCTTAAACGCAATTTCATCAATGTAGGTATCCAACCTTGCCCAGCAGGTATATTTTATCCCTTCCTATTAAGCAACTAACTCATACGAAAGGAACACTTGTAGCCTAATGGGTGCCCATCAGAGAGAAGCTACGTTGCTTGCTGCCAATTTTTATTCGTTAAAGGTGATGTCTAAGTTACCCTGTTCTCATGCCACACAAGTGTGTGATGTCATTCCGGTCTCAGGTATTTGTGTTCAATTGCTGGTGAAAGAAAACTGATCATGGATTTGTGATTTAGATCTCTTCCATCTTAAGCCATATGAGCTCGGGATACTGTCATGGGAAGGTCAGATTTTGCAATTTTTAATTAATAGATCTTCTAACTATCAGATCCCTTCGTGTCTTTGTTTATTGTTCGCACTCGTGATCTTTTGTACCTTTCTAGGTAAAGAATACTGATAACCAATCTAAGTTTAAACCTTGAAGAATGATCGTGGGATTTTGAGCATTCCTTCTCTTCCATACTCAGGAAACCCCCATTGCAGCTTTTAGAATAATCAAAATTATATCTAAATCTTTTAGAATGTGTTTCATCATTCCGTTCAACGTCAATCATTCGTGATAAGCTTTTACTTGATCTGAGCTTTGGAACGTGTGTTTTACTTAACTTATTTATTCACTAGTTACAAATTTTGTGCAGAAAAATAATTATATTCTTTTCATGCGAGGGTTGAAACGATTTTTGACCGTAATAACCAGAATTATGCGGCTTATACAGGAGCTATGATCTAATTGGATTCACCTTAATTGTAATTGATGGAACTTCACTGCTTACCCTCTACCCTCAATGTTTTTTCGGTAACTTCAATTTTTGACCCACCAAAGACTGGAAAAGGAAAAAGTTTCATACACCCCCGAAGAAGGTGGTGAAGGATGAATAATGAGATAACAATTTTTATTAAAATACTATAACTCATTTTTTTATTGAAATACGTAAAAACACCATTTTTTATTGTTTTCTTCTCTTGACTATTTGTTAGGTTCACAGTCGACAGCAGAAACTAACCTCCACTTCTCAACCTCTAATTAATAGCCTTTTCCCTATTTAAATCTTTTTATTCTCAGTCTAGCTAGGTTAGATAAACAAGCCAAGCATAGCTTAAGATCATATTATCTATAGATCTTAGATTAAGATCACGACATGTCATATACAAAGGGCACATCAAAATGAAATTATTCATATCCAGAGCCAGCAATATACGAATCTGCAATGGTAAAAACCTGGCATAAGCAAGGCAAGCCTAAAAATTTAGTTTTACAATTAAATGACCCATTTACAAATACAAATTTTTCCTCGTTTAATAACTATTGTGCTTTAATTTAATTTATTTCATTCATGTTAAAGATTTCTCATTCATAAATCTCTTCAAAAAAAGTGACTTCTCTCCTGACCATTTCGGAGCCAGCGTAGCTGCAGCGCCACCACCATCTATTCTTTCCCAATCGGTGGCAACACCTTCCGTCACCCCCGAATCAATTGTAATGGATTCCAATCCCAAACCTTCCCCATCACCAGCGCCAAACCCTAACCCTAACAAGCCACCACCCTCAAAGGAACAAAACCACAGAGACCTATTGAACCATGTGGAAGCTTATCTGGCGAAGCGCGACGGCGTCGACAAGCTTCTCAAGATTTCTCGTTACGCCACCAAACTCATCCTCGCCTCTTCGCTCCTCCAATCCTCCAACAACCCCACCCTCTCCCACCGCCTCAAGTCCTTCGAATCAAGCGTCGGCCTGAGCCGAAAGGCCTTCCGACTCGGCAAATTCGTCCAGGACCTAAACGCTCTCCGAGCCTCCCACGCCCACTCCATCCGCCACCTCCTCTTCTCCCTCCTCGCCTACGGCGGCGAAGGTTTCTACTACTTCGTCGAGCAGTTTGTCTGGCTCACGAAAGCAGGCCTCATAGATCCCAAGCACGCGCGCACGTTCCAGAAAGTGAGCGCGTGGGCGGAGTTTGTCGGGTACTTCGGGAGTGTTGCGCTCAAACTCACCGATTTAAACACGATTTCCGAGGAGGAGGCGTGTTTGGCGTCGAGCGTGCAGATCACGCGCTTGAGAGGGGTTGGGTGCGTGGAAGAGGAAGCGCGGCTGTGGAAGTTGAGAGAGAAGAAAACGATGAAGAGGCTTTCGGTTGTTCAGGATTTGGCCGATGCGGTTATGGCTTTGGACGATATTATGGATGGGAATGGCCCGTTTTCGAAACCGGTTCTGATGGCTTCCGCGGGGCTTTTGTCCGCGCTTATTAGCACTCACAAGAATTGGGTCTCTTGCTGATTTTCTCACAACTTCTTTTAATGCATAAAAAAAAACATCTAGGTATCTAGGTATATACGGTATACAGAAAAAAATAGTTCCTGGTTGTTTGTTACTTTCTTATGCTAATTGAATTTATGAATTATTTATCCATGAATGAATAAAATTCAACATGATTCTATTTGTTTGTTTTACTTGCTTATTTTGCTGCGGTTGTGGCAATTCTGCTGCTTGCTGATTTACTTTGTTTCGTTTGGTGTGGTTTAGATGGAAGTCAAGAGAATATATTAGTTCTATGTTGCGTAGAATTTTATGTTAGATAGAATCCATGGTTGACCTAGAAGAGAGAGATGGAGAAAATGTGATAGGAAAAAAAGTAAATTGTTTTAGAATGAATAAGCTGAGTTTTCAAATAGGATTAGGAGGCTTATATAACAACTAATTTCCTGACTAATTAATTTAACTGATATATTACTAACCTTTATTTCTCTAATAATATTTTTAACTTGTGGACTTTGAGGAGGTAACAGTGAATTGAATGTTTAGAAGAATGGATTGTATCTTTTCAGTTTTATCCATAAGCTAGATTTATGTATTTGCACATCAGTTGGTATGGGTTGAAATTTGTTAGTTATCATAAAATTGTGTGGGTCTGACTCCTTATTTAGTGAAGATCATCCATAATTTTGTACTTTTCAAACAATTTTACTCAATAGGATATTCTGTGTTGTGTTGGAAAGAGTTTCTTGCCGACTCTTGTACACATAACATGTGTGGCTTCATAGGAGAAGGAAAAATAAATGCATTGCACGTATGTGAAGCCTGATTTGTTTTGGAAATTGGAGGAGGAATGCATTTTACATGGTCCCTTTATCCCTGTCTAGATGCATTGACAATATAACAATCGAGGATGGGTCTAGTGCTGATGAATTTAGATAGTTTGCATGAAGTCTCAGGTATATGCCTCATGACCTCCATTTTACACACAAAAATAGATGCACTAACAATATTTTCTCTTGTCACAAATATATTGATAATGCTTCAGTGTTCGGAAGGGAGTTTCTCCTGAAAGGTTCTGCTTCATGCTTTTTTCTAGTGTGACTAGGAGGAAAGTTGACTTCATTAGCATTTCTAGTTCATCTTTCATTTCTCCATTATCTACGTTATTCAACAAAACTTGTTAGTGAACTTGACATCTCTTCCACGATGGAAAAGTTAGTTGCTTGCTGACTTGAATGTTTTCATTTCAAACCTACTTTCATCATGTATATCTTCCCACAATCCTATTGGCATGTTGCAACTTCTCTCAGTTATTCCATCTCTGGACTCCCAATGAAGTAGTAAGGCTTTTTCAAATGTTGATTTGAGTTTTTTAGTTTCTTTACAGAGGTTTTGGTGTCACAATAAGGACTTTTGTCGGGTGAAGTCATAAGTAGAAACTCTTACGTTTAAGCTTTTTGCCCGAGTGCTCATTAATGAGCATATTGGATAATTCTGTTTCCTTTTTAAGAATTAAAAAACAAGGGATGTTCGGTCTTTTTATAAGACTACATAGTGTTGTTACACTAAAATATCCTTAGTTAAAAAAGAGAGGCTATATAATGATAAATATTTAAAAGAAAGAACATTCGTTTTAAAATAATATAAATTTAAGACATTTTATTATTATCAATTAATTTAATGATTTTTTTTAATCTTGATGAGTTAAGCAATAAAATCTTCTAAGGAGTTTGGCTTTTGTGCTGTATTTCTTATATGTGCCTACCGAGTTGTCATTGTGGAACTACATACTTTGTTGTCTTGTTTGCAATTGCTAGTCATTTGCTTCTACATCAATTTTTGTTAGTTTTATTAAGAAACTTATCAACGTACAGACAATATCTTTTTCTTAATGGTGTGATCTCATAATGTTATCATGAGAAACAACAATCATTTGGAATGAAACACGTGTGACTAACAAGTATGCTATAGAGACATTAGATCAATCATTGAAAAATAATCTTCATTGTGATGCTCCATTTTGAGTAGAAGTGATGATATTAGAAGATTTGTCAAGTACTACTCAAATCATGACACAGATGATTTTTGTATATATTCTTAAGTCTTCTTGATATATTAACACAATGGTACTACATTTACAACAAAACATGTCAAGATCATAATTTTGCAACATATCTCGTGTGCATTGGAGATGGGACTAAACCTTATAGCATATATCGTACCAAAAGCAATTTTAAAAACAAAAAATGTGCCTCCAATTTTTTATGAGTGGATAAATGCATCTATATATATATTCACACTATTATGTTGAATATGGTCCACTGTAAGTGTTGGTTTATTCTATTATCAAGTAACATTATGAATTATTCAGTATTACGTTTTTATTTTGGTTCCAATGTTCAAAATAATATGAGGGGTAACACCATCGTATAGATTTTTAGCACATGTTTTGGATTTTTAGTTATAGAGTCTATTATCCTCTTTAACATATAACACCATCATATATTGAGAGCAAAAGTTCAGAAACTAGAAGTAATCGAGTGACATAATGGTGGGTGTTGGTTCTTTTATTTATTCACTTTAGATGGTCAAAATATGTTTTGTTGAAATTTTTGACATATTTAGGTCATTGATTTTTGTTTTCTATATTTGGTATTTTCTATTTAGTATCAAAGCCTATTAATCTTGTATCTTTTTTTTCTTTTCGAATTTTTGTAGGGACATTCTGTTTTGGGCCCTATAATTTATTTTAAAACTAAAGAAAAGAACATAATGCGATTTCTAACGTTTTTCTATTAAAATGATGTATTTCGGTGTCTAATACATATCAAAATAGTCGAGTTTTAAATTCGGGTTCGCGAGTAACAATCGGGTCAAACTGACCGTCTAAAGGTTAAAGATGAATAAAATACAAGATGGTTCATTTTTTTTTCCATTGGCACATAATTAAACTATATATTTGATATAATTTGTAAATAAATATAATTAAGTTGAAGCTCGCCAAGTGTTGAACCTAAATACTTAAAGAGTAACAATATGACACACAATTATTAAACTATATTTTTCCTTTTATAGTTTAATATTTTCAAGTATAATGTTACATTTTTTTCTATTGATTTGCAAGATTTATTTGATATAAAATTGTGTATTTACTATTTTAGACATATTAGCATAGTATATTACGTATAATGTTGTCTAATTAGGGATATTTCAATATTACATGTAATTTTATGTATTATTGTATATTTTGTTAATATTAATGTTAATCATAAATATAATTTTAATAAATTAGAGAGTAGTTATAAAATCTTTTAATTAATTAAATAATTATATATATATATATATATATGTATTTATTGAATGTTACATTAAAAATATTAATTGTAATTAATTATATGTAATGTGATGAAATATATCCATAAATTTTTTTATTATATTTGTGTGATTAATTATGATAAAATATTGGATTATATTTGTTAATCTAATCATAAGAATTAATAAAATATATAATTTGATAATTTTATCATGAAGTCTCTAATTAAGTAGGACTTATCTCATAAACAAGTTTAATGTGACTAGATTTATAAATTGAGACATGTTTGCATTGGTAAAATATGATATCTATTTATCATAATATCAAATTATTATGATAAAAATTCATTTTGAATTTTTCAAATTCTCAATTTGTAAATATAATTTTTTATTAAGTATGGTATTCCTAAATTAATTGTTACCACTCGTAAGATAAGCAAGATGTAATTTTTTTTTCACTTAGACATTGACATTATTATTGAAAAAGTGGAATCAATTAACAAGACTAGTAGTGTAGATGTAATTGAATTTTATAGAAAAATAGTAAAGGTCAAATAGTCTCTTCATAATGTTCAGAAAATCATTTCTATTAAAATTTGAATTCATTATGACGAATATGATAATGATAATGATAAAGATTTATTAAAGACCATATATGTGCAATTAAATGCATTTGATAAATCTCTTACTAGTACTCTAATAATGTAGTTTTCCATGAACCTCATTGGGATTAGGGGAGTTTGTGATCATATCATATGTACAAGATATATTGTGGCTCAAATCAGTAAACTCAATTCATTAATAGCTCTCATCCATGTATACACTCTCTATTTGATGTCTATGTGAAACTCCAAAAAGATAAGCATCCATTTAATGAATCTAGTTTTAGCATTGTACTTCATCAACATGAATTTGAATACTTCATGGTTAGAATAAATAGTAATCGTAGTATAATTAGTTTGGGTTGTATCAAGTGTGATTTTACCAACTTTTTATGACAATGGAAGTATAAGAACATTTGTAGTTACTTATGGAATAAGATTTGCAACTACAATAGTATCTACACATGGAATAGGTTCTAAAATAGGATCTGCAATCAAATTTGGATTCAGATTTGTACCTGCATAAGGAACAAAAAAAGAATGCATCCAGAGTTAATTTCAACACATATGTATGCATCACAAGTGCAACCAGAAATTGTATCAATGCTTGAAAACTGTGACAAGTCTAAACATACTTCTAGATCTAAATCTAAAACTAAAACTAAAATGAAATTTGAAGCTAAAACAAAATCTGTACAAGAAATTTAATTAGTAACTAAAATTGAATCTAAAATTGCACAAGAAACATTTATGATATCATATAAAAGTGGTGATAACGGCTAAACTGGAATGTAATGTTGTTAGGCTGGTGTAGGAGTTAAAATATCATGATTTATAATATTATCTCATTCAACTTTTTATCACTCCTCAAGTAATGACACCCTTGTTTTCCTTTGAATTTAGAATTGGTTGGGAAGAGAAAACACTAGAATCCAGTTGTTGTGATTTATTAATTGTAGTGACTAACTGATTAAATTGAGTTTGCAAGTTTTGGATGTTTGCATTAAAATCTTATTGAAACAAATTTTTTTTGTAGTGATCTGATTTATCAAATCCTCTAAAGAAGGATTAGAATTGTTACACAAGTGGTTGTTATTGTTGATGCATGGGTTAATGCTAGTGTATAAATTGTTGAAAAGGTACTAGATCATATATCAAATTCGAACTCCAACCAAGATTGTACATCATGAAAAAATGATCATATTGTTGGACTGGTAGCTTGTGGAAAGCATTTGTATAATGATCAATTGTTGTGGCACATGGTTTTGAAAAACTTTGTTACTTCATGACTAGCTGTCTCAAGAGATGAGTTCATAATTAACAAAACTTTCTTGTAATTGTAGAACCTGTATATAAAAAGGTTGATAACCCATATCAAGTGCAACTGTCTCTCTTAATGTCATCTCATTATTATTACCAGTCATGTTACCACAATCCGAAATGAAAAAAAAACTATGAGAATCATAAATCAAATAAGTTACAAAAATAATAACACTAACAAAAATAAAATCACTAACTAATATGCTATTATCTATGCTAAAATATGACTATCTAAAATTTGAAAATGATGCAAAACATGCGAGTCACACACCAAACAAATAAAAATAAAATGTTAGAAATAAACAAAAATAAAAACTCAACAAAGTTTCAAAAGTCAACATAATGTCAAAAATAAAAAAAATTTACATAAAAGTAAGGGATGTGTAAATTTAAAGGTATGACAAATTTGTATATAATAAAAGAAAACAACAAGAAAAAAATTAATTTTTTTAAAAGTATAAAGGAGAAAATTAAATTTTAAAAATGTAAGAAAATGATTCAAAAATACTAAAAAAAATAAAAACGGTGGAATTTTGAAAAATTATACCCCAATCCTAATTGGGTATTGACCACTAAATCACCACTAAAATTTGAAGAACTCACTTTTTTATTTCAACTTAATCTAATGTCTATATAAAAAATTATGTTTGTTTGAAGTTTTTTTAACTAATTTTTTGCATCTACAAATATATGATTATATTATGATGAAAAATGATTCTACTATCTAAGTATAAACTAGAAGAAGTGACAAAAAATTGGGTGAAAAATCAATCTCCAACTATTTTTACTTGATTTTACAAAATCAGATAAATAGTAGGAAAAACAAAAACAAAAACAAAACAATGGATAAAAAAATAACAATGGCTACAGAAAAAACTAACATAGAAACTAAAACTGTAACAATGAATATGAAAAACAAAAATTAACCAAAGTAAACAATACAAATGGATCAAAACTGAAAATGAAAACAAGATCACCTAATCATCAACTACTAATATGAATTGTAAAAAAACACCAACAATTAAGATCTAGAAACTATTAAGAATGAAAACAAAAAATAATATGTATACAAAAAAAAACTATAACAATTATGAAACTAAAACAAATAATTAACAAAAACTACTGTATTTTTTTTCCGGATGGGATATTGAAAAATCAAGAACAAGTCAAGAAATCAATAAAAAAAATTAAACAATAAACAAAACCATTAAATTATCAACATCTATAATTAAAAAGAAGGTGGAAACAACAAATTGTTAACAACAATTGTAATTTTTCAAATTTGATAACAACATAATCAAATCTAAGAAGAATAGCTAAAAACAAATCAAGAATGAGTGAATAACAAATCAAGAAATGAAATGAAAAAAAAGAAAGATTTAGGATTAGAACTAGAAATAAAATTAAGAACATAATTAGAAATTAGGAACAAATTTAGAAACATCACGACCAAAGTAAAAAAATTAGGAATTAGGAACACAATAAGAAACAAAAAGAATTAGAAACACTATTAGAGAAGCTCCGACTTAACAGAAATAATAGATATAATACTAACAATTGGACACATCAATACATATCCTGATTATGTCATTTTGATTTTTACTATCATTTGTGAAATCAAAGATTATAAGTTTATTTCGAATATTTTGTAATATAGAGCACAACCCAGATCATTCTTTTAAATAACACGTATTGAAATATATTCAATATTTAGTTCATTTTTCGTACAAGTTAAATTTGGGGGTTTGAAAATATAAAACAATAATTGAAAACCAAAACAGAAATAATACCGCCAATGATTATTTATATATAACCTCCTCTCTTAACCTACTGAGACTCCTTTTAAAGACAAAACCGTGATGGATGAAAACTCCAAAGTGGACAATACCTCGGAGGTGAGAATTGACTCAAATGATGTTATCATAACGGACATGAGGTTGAAATACTCTCATTTTTAGACAGAACATTGGCCCTCACAGTGAGACCGGGAGTAGAGTCTCACTTCACATATAATCTCCTCTCTCAACCCACGAAAATGTTTTTTAAAGATAAAATCATGACGGATGAGAGTTTCAAAGTGGACAATATCTCGGATATGATAAATAACTTTAATGATGTTATCATAGTGGACATAAGGTTAGGATATTCTTGTTTCTAAACAGAAATATTAACGTCCACGTGAGCCGAGAGTAGAATCTCGCTCCACTTATACGTCTTAGTCCTCGACTGAGGGGCATGCTGATGAGTCTCACATTACTTAGGAGTCGAGTCAAGGGTAGTTTATATATACTCTTTTGAACCCACCCATACGCCTTTTAAAGACAAAATTGTGGCTGACGAAAGCTACAAAGTGAACAATACATTGAACATAAAAATTGACAATAACAATGTTATTATAACAAACTTGAGACTGAGACACTCTTGTTTAGGTATGACAACGGGGTGAGACAAAGGTGGAACGGGGGCGGGGCGGGTTTTGCCTCTCCGACCCCATCATTGTCCTCGATCCTCGATCCCTATCGAAGTTTGAAATTAAATATCCTTCTTCGTTAAGTTTCGGGTTTCTTTGTCTCCACATTATCTCCTATCTACATTATTTTTTAAAAATTATACTTATAATAAATTAATTTTAATATTTTTTATATATAAATAAATATTTTTATAATTTATAATTATTATTAATTAAATATATATTTTAATTTATTATATTTATATTAAAATATCTATATAAAAGAACATTTAATATATTTTTTATACGGATATAAAATAATTATAACATTAATAATAATAATAATAATAATATATTTAAACATTTAATTACATAATATATTTTTTAAAATTGTGAAATATATAATTTATAAGAAAATATGTAATAAGTTAATTTTTATTTAATTAATTTAAAATAATAAAAATTTTAATTATTAATTTTTAAATTTTTTTAAAATATAATTATTTTATTAAGATAAAATTTAATAGATGATAAATAAAAATAATTATAAAAAAATACTAAAAAAATATTTATCAAAATAATACTTTAAGCAAGTTTATGAATATGAGATAAAATAAGGTGAATGGAAAATGCTAATAATTTAATACACATGATATCTAAAGCTCAATATATTCAAAACACTAATTAAGAAATTAATGAATATTAAGAAATAAATCTTTAAAATCTAAGTTGAAAATTTCACAATAAAAAAATAGTATAATAGATATTATTAAATACTTTTTACAATCTTATTCAATCACATATTAATCAATATAGCAACTTTATTAACTTTTTTTTTTAATTTTTATAATGGACAATTGAAAAATCATACTCAAAATAATCCACGATTAATTGATATTATACATTATTTCCAGATAAAAAAAAATTCCTAATAATAAAGTGTTTTCCTTTTCTATTCTTATTTGATAAGATAACAAAATAAAATAATAATAATAATAATAATAATAATAATAATAATATATGGGATTAGGATTCATGGAAAATTCGAGATTCCTGAAATTGTGGCAATTTTCTACGTTCTTCTTCCTTTCACCGGTCATCATCATGTTGTGGCTATGACAGGTTCTTCCTCTCCCCAGCTTCAAAGCTTACCAAGAGAGACCCTAAGCCTCCTGGCTGATTCGTGCCCAATTCATTCTCTTAACCGCAACCCTTTTTCCCTTCAATATTTAACCGCCCAAGAACCCTTTCGGTTACGTTTTAACCTTTTACGGTTAGGGTTTTTCTTCCCTCCAATTTCAAATTTCTTCCGTTTTTTTATTTTATTTTTTTCTTTTCTTTCAAAAATTTCTTTTAATTTTAATTACGAGTATTATTGTTTTCTTGAATGAATGATATGCTTAGTTTTGAGTTTAATTGTGGAATAATAAACCCAGGTTTCCGAATAATTGAAGGTAGATCGAAGGGATTTGTCTGTGTGCTGCGTTGAAAGTGGATTAGGCGTTAGTGTGTTTGGAGCTATGAGATTGTATAGTTTAGCTTGTAGTGGTGGTGGTAACCCTCTTGTTGTTGTGTTTGGTGACCTTTAATCATTGTGTTGGTGAAGAATAAAATGCCATCTAATTACTTTTCGCGGCTTGGAACTTCAATTCAGAGATCAATTGTGGGGAAAGAAGGGGGAATCCTAGAGTCTGCTGAAATTCTGATTGGTCAAGGGAAGTTGTGGTTTGGTAGTTCTAAGTTTTTCCATTCTGTGCATAGCTCATATTGTGTGGAACTTCGCCTGCTCGTGCGCCCTGGGTTTGCCTTAGCTTCGAGCCCTGAATTAGCTGGAAAAAGGAGAACATTGTCGGTGGTTGACACGCTGTCTCGGACATTTTCGGTTCCGTCTGTGTCGGGGCCATCGTTTCAGGTCTGTGGATACCACATTGGTTCTGCCCTTGCTGGACCTGATCAGCTTTCTAGTGGAGGAGCCGGATTTCGAATTAAGACAATGGCTGCTCACTTGCCCAGGGTAGTGTTTGGTGAATCTTATTTCGATAACCCGAGTTTGAAGGGTGTTCACCGTTCCCTGTCAACCAAGAATATCGGTAGTATATGTTTAAACACGAGTCTGAGGAATGGTGGAAAAGTGAGCATGAGTTTGAAAAACCATCAACCGCCAGATAACTGTGCGATTTATGGATATTTCATTTATAATGCTGCCAAGACCTGGTGTAACTCCCATCCTTACTTAGAGTCTGGGTCTGGAGATTTCCATAGCTTGTCAACATCGTGTTACTCTGTTGGGCCTGCTCATGATGTACCTTTTGAAACTTCTGTCCGTGAGGAACAGCTAAGCAGTTCTGTAGATTCATCTGAGCAGTATGTTATCTAACTTTGGTGTTCACCACTTTAAACGTAGCATGTATGTGAACAAATACCAATTCTGTGTGGTCAAATCAATATTTATATATCGTGGTTTTGCTTATTTGTGGATTAGAATAATTTTGTCCTTTATAGTTGTCTCTTTGTGGTTATGACTTTAATAAACATCCATTTATTATTGAAAAATTTAAGAGGATTGAAGAGTGCAAATGTTTTTGAACTTAAGAGATTTTGACTAGTTCTATTTGGAGTTAAAAAAAGTTATCGTTGCATCCCATCTTTACGAATAAAGGTTCATTAAGCTGTTTAGCTAGCATATTAATATTTTACAAGCACTGAAAAATTGAGATTTATTAACATTTGCATTTGACTGGTGCAATTTTGGGAATATAAAGAGGGTTCTGTATTATAATATGTAGAAAGCACGACCCCCACCTGTCAATATGGAACAGGTTTGTAATGGTTTTAAAAGGAAAATAATGATCAGACAGTGTTAGTGTCCGATTCATAGTTTTCTGATTTTCTTGTTACTTTGATACCATGCTTATATCATTGTACAGGGAGAAACTCGTAAATTTGCTTTGTCGTATTACCTTTTGGATCAACTACGTGCATAAGCTATATAACAAAAAAAAAATATGGAGGCTATATATGATGGTCAAATGTATATTCCGAATGTGAAATCTTATGGCTGATATTACATGATTGGAGATGTTGACTGCAGGAAAACTCCTTCAGGAAAGAGCCTTAAGTTAATATCAGGATCATGCTACTTGCCTCATCCTGATAAAGAAGAAACTGGTGGAGAAGATGCTCATTTTATATGTTCTGAGGAACAAGCAATAGGGGTGGCAGATGGGGTTGGGGGCTGGGCAGATCTTGGTGTTAATGCTGGATATTACTCTCGTGAGCTCATGTCCAAATCAGTGGAAGCTATTCAGGAGGAGCCCAAAGGTTCAATTGATCCAGCTAGGGTGTTGGAAAAAGCGCACTCAAGTACAAAAGCTAAGGGTTCTTCTACAGCATGCATCATTGCACTTACTGATCAGGTTAGCTTCTCCTTTATGCTGTCCTTTTCGGAATATTGCAGCAGGGTCTGTGACATCACTTTATATTATAGTAGTACTGAATTTACCTTCCTTAGTTATTGCTTCCATTTTCTTGATATTTTGAGTATCATTTTTCTCCTATCCAGTGGTCTTCTGGTGATTACTTTAACCCTTGCAGCTTATTTTCCCATTCCAGCATTCACTTGTGAAAAAACTTCTGAAGTCCTGGAAAACGAGTCAGTGTATAGCCTTTCAAAATAGTTTTCACTGTTTCTAGTAACATAATTATGGGGAAAAAGTTTCAAGGCAGTAATCTTAGAACTTTACAGATATTGCGTTCTTGTGCATTTTTTAAGAGATCAAAGTGAATTATGATGCAAAAGTATCAGTTTACTTAACCAAATGCTGTCTTAAATAATTTATGGTAAAATCCCTGATATGCTGGTAATAGTTAAAATCACTCTTAAACAGCTTTTTGATGTGCTTGTAAGTTGTAACAGTTAATTTTCTGAAATATAATTTGTCAGCATTGGATACATTTAAGCATGTGATTTTACGTAATATGAAGCTCCATCTAATAAATATGTTAGGGATTGTTGCATAATTTTCTAAGGTAGCATTTGGTAAACTACTTAAAATGGGAAGAAATGTGTACGAGTTATGTTATATATTGGTACATTTTAGAAAGAGAACAGAATGGGACAGAAGGTAATAAAAGTGGTACATTTTGGCAAACAGGATACATTCCACTCCATTCTATTTCCTTACCTAACAATACCTAATAATTTCTAAAGTTTATCCTTGAACATTGACTTATTTCCTGTTTTTCTTCCTTTTATATTTTTACTCAAGGGCTATTCTATTGTAATTTGTAAATAATCAATTTTGCAATGTTATTTTTTAATCCTGATAGAGAGATCTCGTTTGTTTCATTCCTTTCATCAAAATATATTCATTCTTGTGTGTTTCATGCACAGGGCCTTAACGCTATCAATTTGGGAGACAGTGGGTTCATGGTGGTTCGGGATGGGTGCACCATATTCCGATCCCCCGTACAGCAACATGATTTCAATTTCACCTATCAGCTGGAATGTGGTAATAATGGTGATTTACCTAGTTCTGGTCAGGTATTTTCTTATTATGGACTTTATCGTCGGGAGAATCTGATTAAATTGGTCAATGAAGCATCTTTTTTATACACTCTTGATGATATTGTGCTTAATCCTGATTCATGAAAAAATGTTGCTACTGGATCTGCTACTTGTTTATAACATCTAATATGGTTCTTGTATAAGTATTTAACATAATAAATACACCAAAATTTATGGTAGTTTTTCTTTATATTCAATTTCTAATTCGTAAAAATCTACCATTCCCTTGTATATAGACTGTAATATAAGATTTAAATCTTGTATCAGAAGAGTTCTTGTACATGTACACGAGTCCATTGTTTTAAAATATTCAGTTTAATCCTTAATGTACCATTTATATTCAACTATTTGTTACAAACTAGACAGTTCAATGCTTTACATGTCAGCTACAAGTGAGTCTGTAATCACCAAGTCAGGCTCATACCATAATCCAATGTCAGTAGTAATCTAATTTAGGTCACAGCTAACTTCAGTGACTGCATGAATACATATCTTAAATTTTGGGATTAGATAAAGAAAAGGTAATCAAGACTAAAATGAATGTAGCCTGTTAGAGTGTTAGTGAAAAAAAGGGCACATAGTCTGAAAACATTAAACCAAGTTGCTTATGCATTTACTTAGGAGTTGTACAGCACAACCAGAATAATTTAATCAGAATTCAACTAGATCTAACTGTGGTTATTAGAGGGACAAGAACCACGTGTCCAAGAGTTGATAACTAAGCATGCACAGTGCAAAAAATTCCAGATTCCAACATTTTCATTTTGTTTATTGTTGGTGAGTCAAGCATATTATGTTTGTCAATTTTGTTAAATAGCAATTATAGGGGTTCTATAAAGCCATTGCAAAGTGGAAATCAGGCATCCCCTACTGTAGCCGCTTTGCTTTGCTGTGGTTGTAGCATACGTCCTGCATCCTCTTGTGGGTCTCAAGTCAATTGAACTTTTGAGTTAATATTAGCTAATTTTTTATACATATATATAACCATTGTCTAACTTCCACTATATGCCCAAGACGCAGCCTGCTATATGATATAGCGGATTATTTGCTCTCTGCCATTTTCCGCAATCCACAACTGATAACTCTATTTTATGCAGTTATGTTTCATAATTCAAGATTTGGCTGCTGATATTTTGTTAGTGGGCAGATTTGTATTTGAGGTCTTAGTTCTGCTGTGTTTCTGGGAGACTGCTTGTTTCTCTATAAAACTGATTGCTACTTTCTGCCCTATAATTTGTCTTGTTTATGCCCTATGGTATTCTTCCTGCTGATCTATCTGTATTTACATTAAGAATTTAACCATGAACTGGTAGTCAAACTTTGTTTTGGATAATTCATTATGATATTAAGTTTTATTGGAGGTTTGGTTCTATGCATCTACGTTTTTTCGCACTAGGGATGCTTAGATGGCTTTGCTTTGTTTATGTTAGGTTTTTACCATTCCCGTAGCACCCGGTGATGTCATAGTTGCTGGTACAGATGGTCTGTTTGATAACTTGTACAATAATGAGATTACGGCAGTGGTGGTTCATGCCATGAGAGCCGGTTTAAGCCCTCAGGTGACAGCCCAGAAGATAGCTGCATTGGCACGTCAGCGGGCACTCGATAAAGACAGGCAGACTCCTTTCTCAACTGCTGCTCAAGATGCTGGTTTCCGTTACTACGGTGGCAAGCTTGATGATACTACAGTTGTGGTTTCATACATTACCGGCTCAGGAGATGCATAATTCCATTTTGTTGTGCCCTCTGTACATAATCACTTTCTCTCTGTTGTGACGTGTTTTGAAGTTAGCATTTATAGGTCATCACATAATAGTTCCATTGAATTTAAAATTCCCATCGTCCTTGTTATGCTTGGTTTGTTTGTCCAACCAAGTAGTTGCTACGCTGAGAATTAGCTTGTCTAGTTAGAGTTAAAGAAAAAAAAAAGGATATTTGTTTGAGGTTGAGGAGTTAAGTACCCAGTCTATTGACTTTTACGGGGTTGAGGTTAATTCTTGTTGTCAATGTTGTGATCATGACAAATAATGGAGTATTATCTCATAATACCCTATCACTAATTAGGGTTAAAGTTTTGTTTATTTTGATGGAGTTGTCACTAACTATTTACTTTTTTATTTTACGCCTGTTTTTTCAAAACATAGCTAGAAATAAAATAAATAGATTTATTATCTTTTCATGCATAGTCAATTCCATCGTCTTTCCCATTAAAATCAGTGAAGTTCATTATTGGCCAAATTTCGTGCGTTGGTTCGATATATAGATGGTCACAGTTTACCTTATGCATTGGGTTAATATTTTTTAGTCCTTTGCGTGACATTACATAAAAGGATATTGATGATATTGAACTTGCTCTATTTCTCTCGAGATATTGACGTAAGCAAGGAGTAAATGGGATGAGTTCAACTGCCCGTATATTTGTTAATAGATTATTTATCCTAAGCTACAAACATACTAATTTTAGCTGTGTAACAAAAGACAGCTCATGGTTTACTAAATATCATGCTCAAACCAACTGATAATGTTTGATTGTTACCTACAAGAATTAGGCACATGTTTGGTACTAACTATTAGCATAATTATCGTGTTCGATTATTATGGAAACTAATAAAATATTATTATCATTCATTTCATATTATTTTTTTTCGTTAACTTTTTATTCCTTATCATTAGGTTTATTGATTTGGGAGAATTTGTTTAACTAAACTTTACTTTATGTTGCCTAACCAAAAGCATACACAATTCCTTGTTTAGGTAGTATTCTTCGTAACTTTTGGGTATAGCTATCATGATCAGTTATATTAGGACACAACGACAATATAATAGTCATCATGATTAGTTATATCAATGCAAAACGGCAACATAATACATTAATATTGCATAATCATCGGTCAAACTTTTAAAAGAATTTATATGTTCTTTTGTTCAGAAAAGACAGATACTTTCAAAATAAGAAAAGAGTTCTTTTTTTTTTTCCTCACCTAGCTAAGTTTGGCTCTTAAATTTTCTTCATAGTACATTCTATCCAATTTACACAGATAGTACAATTATTTCTCAAGGCCAGAATTTGGTCTTCTAAAAGCTGTCATTAATTCGATAAGTTGTTGAAAGAGTGGGTGAGTTAAAGGACATAATATCCCTCGCGGATGATAAGAAGGTAAGGATTGGCGGCAATCTCAAACCCAAACTAGAATAGGAACTTATCAGTATGCTCCAAGAGAATGTGCATGTGTTTGCTTGGTCAGTTCGAGACATTTCACGTATCGTTCCTGACTTCCTATGCCACAAGTTGACAATTGACCCGAAAGTAAAGCCAGTAATGCAATGGCGAAGAAAGTTTGAGTGCAAGAAATGGCAGGTGATGAAGGAAGAAATTCAGAAGTTACTCAATCTGGGTCACATCTGAGAGATACAACACTTGACGTGGTTATTCAACGTCATCATGATTAAAAAGAATTCGAGAAAATTTTGGATGTGTACGAATTTCACTGAACTCAATGTTTGATACTAACGATAATTATATTGTTCGATCATGATGGAAACTAATAAAATTTTATTATCTTTCACTTCATTTTGTTTCTTCTTTGTTCACTTCTTATTCCTTATCATCAGGTTTACTGATTTGGGAGAATTTGCTTAGTTGAACTCTACATTACGTTGCTTAACCAAAAGCTTATGCAATTCCTTGTTTAGGTAGTGCTTCGAATGGAATGATGATCCAGCAGCCACTCCGCTTCACCTTTAAAGCCAACAATAATCAGGCAGAGTAAGAGGCGTTGTTAGCTGGCATGAACTTGGCACCAAGATGGGAGTAAGTAGCCTTATTGTCAAGAGTGACTCTCCGCTCGTCACCAGACAAATTACAAGAGGTTACCAAGCTCGGGACCCGTGCCTTGCCCAATATTTGGAAGAAGTGAAACTTTAAATACAATCCTTCTACGTGTTCAACATTGTCAATGTATTGAGAGAACAAAATTCTATGGCTAACCTCTTGTGCACGTTGGCTAGCACGAAAAGACTTGGCAACAATCGGTCGATCATACAGGAAACACACGCATCCCCAAGTATCACCAAGGGTGTGGCCTCTATAATCAACATAGAGGCCTAAAATTCTTGGATGCGCCTATATATGGCATATTTCATACATATGACAGAGAGCGTGTGCCGGATCTTCTTAGGAGTTGAGGGGCTGTGTCCCCCTAAAGTTTTGTAACTCCCATGAAATTTATGATTTTGACCCTCCAAGCTTAATGAACATTTAATGTATTTACTTGTATATTTACAATTTTACCCTCTCAGCCCCTCCTCAGCCTTGTAACTCTCATATAATTTATGATTTTGTCTCCCCTCAAACTTAATAATCATTTAATATATTTAAGTATATATTTACAATTTTATCCTTTCACCTTTTCATCTTCTTACTTCTTTTTATATTTATTTATTATTTATTAATAATATATTATTTGGCCCCTCCAAGATCAATGGTCAAGATCTACCACTGCACAGAGCCTACCAATAAAGACGAAAGAGCACAATTTCGAAAGAGGATCACCAAATTTATCATGATCAACAACAAACTTTTTCATCGTAGATTCTCAACTCCATTACTCCAGTGCATTTCTGAAGCACGCACATTTGAAGTCGTGGTGGAACTACATGAGAGACTTGGCAGGTAGGGATGACAATTAAACCCGTTCCCGTGGGGATCGACCCGCCCCCGTCTCGAGTTTGACGGGAAAAACCCGAGTTGACCGGGGGCGGGGGCGGGTTTTGGTTTTCTCGCTTTAAAAAGTCGGGGCGGGGATGGGTAATGCAATCCCCACCCCGACCCCGTCCCGACTTTATATTTAAATTTAAATTTTAAAATATTAATATTTTAAAAGTATTTTCTTTTCTTTTTCTATTACATATAAGGTCATTTTTTTATATTTCACCAATTTTTATTTTTCTTCTACCTATTTTTTAATTTTTTTGTCTTTTTTAATCTTTTATATCAATTAATTTATTACATTATTCTCTCTTTTACCTTTCAATTTTTCATATTTCCTTAATCTCTCCCATCAATTTGTTTTTTTTTTCATTCTTTTCAATCAATTTGATGAACACAAAGTTAATATTTTTATTCTTTATCTTTTTCTAAATATTTTACATAAGTCTTAATAATAACTAATATTATTTTATTTATAATTTATATTTATTAGGTTTTATTATGTCATTTTTTTATCTTATTATTCTTATTTATCATATATCAAATTTTATCTTAATAAAATAATTGTATTTTAAAGGATTAAAGGAATTGATAATTTAAACTTTTATTACTTTGAACTAATTGAATAATAATTAACTTATTAAATATTTCCTTATAAACTATATATTTCATATTTTTAAATGACAACTTAAAAATGAATTAACTATATATATATATATATATATATATATAATCAAATGTTTGAATACAATATTATAATAATAATGTTATAAGTATTCAAATATTTGAATACAATATAATAATAATAATAATAATAATAATAATAATAATAATAATGTTATAAATAAAAAATAATTAAATATTTCTTTTACATACATATTTTAATATAAATATAATAAATTAAAATGTATATTTAATTAATAATAATTATAAATTATAAATATCTATTTATATATAAAAAATAGATAGTAAAATTAATTTATTATAAATGTAATTATCTTTTTAAAAATAATACAGATCGGGTATGGGACGGGGCGGAGAACCCGAAACCCGACGGGGACGGGGATGGAGACTTAATTTCTAATCCCGGCGGGAATCGGGGGCGTGGACGGGGATGATTAAAAAAGTCGGGGGCGGGAATCGGGGAGGCAAAACCCGTCCCCGCCCCGCCCCGCCCCGTTGCCATGCCTGTTGGCAGGGACATGTCAGAAGTCGTGTCTTGGCAACGAAGGTCTTACAAACAGGTTACTACTAGTCATCCATACGACACGATTGTTCACAACACGTCCGACGATGCCATCAATGTCAATTACATGATGATGCTCACATTACACCCCCAAAACCTCTACACACAATTGTCTCCTTATGACCTTTCTACAAATAGGGAATGAACATTGATAGTAACTGTTAGATATTGTTTAGATATAGTTTGATATTGTTAACCATAATATCAAACAATATCTTCTGTTTATTCTGTTTACTTTCGGTTACTCTTTTAGTTGTACCTCTCTATTATAAATAGATTACCCTATGTGTGATTTATACACAAGGGAGATTAATTTCAAACCTTATTTCCTCTATATTCAACATGGTATCTAGAGCTTAATGTTATCTTGAAATTTCTTTTTCCCCTTTTTTCCACTGCTGGAGCCACCCCACCGCTGCTAGAGCCACCCCACAGCTGCTAGAACCGCGCCTCACCACTGCTAGAGCCGCCCCACCGCTGTTGGTAAACTGATCCTCCACATCAGAAAAGATTATATTTGTTACTGAATTTTATTTGGTAGTGTGAAAGTGCATATCTAGGAAAGTTCTGACAAGGAAAGACTTGGTATTTAAGTGTGTCCATTAGTGACCCACCTCTCTTTCCTGAGAACTTACCTGATGTACTGGTTCACGTTGTTGTCACCGCTGCCGTTGGAGCAGTCACCGGATCCGCCGCTGCCGGAGAATTCGCCGGAGTTTCATTTTTTGGACCTGTGACATATGATTTTGCTTGTCTCGGTTAGGTGACCACCGTACCGTTGAGATCACCACTATCGGAATTGGTCCCGTTACCGTCTGGGAAATCTGTTGTTGGTTGCAGGTGGGTGTTTGCTATCAAAGTTGGACCTGATGGTACTATTGATCGCCTCAAAGATCGTCTTGTGGCCAAAGGTTATACTCAAATTTTTGGGTTGGATTATGGAGATACCTTTTTCCCTGTTACAAAGATGGCTTTTGTTCGTTTATTTATCGCCATGACCGTTCTTCAACAATTACCTCTTTATCAACTGGATGTTAAAAATGCTTTCCTCAATGGTTATTTGCAAGAAGAAATATATATGGAGCAACCTCCTGGGTTTGTTGCTCAGGGGGAGTCTTCTGGGATGGTATGTCATCTTCGCAAATCCCTATATGGCCTAAAATAGTCTCCTAGGGCTTGGTTTGAAAAGTTTAGCAAGGTTATTTAACAATTTGGTATGACTCGGTGTGAAACAGATCATTCTGTCTTTTATCGGCACTCGAGTGCTGGATGTGTTTACTTGATAGTATATGTTGATGACATCGTTCTTACAGGTAGTGACAACCATGACATCTCTCAGTTGAAACAACATCTCTGTCACCATTTTCAGACCAAAGATCTTGACAAACTTAGATATTTCTTGGGTATTGAGGTGACATAGTCCAATGATGGTATTATTATATATCAGAGGAAGTATGCCATAGATATTTTGGAGGAAACTGGGTTGATGAGTTCAAAGTCTATTGATACACCCATGGATCCCAATACTAAACTTCTACCAAATCAGAGGGAGCCTATATCTGATCCTGAGCAGTATAGAAGATTGGTTGGAAAATTGAATTATCTTACAATTACTCGTCCTAACATTTCCTTTGCAGTCAGTGTTGTAAGTCAATTTCTTAATTCACCATGTGAAGATCATTGGAATGCAGTCATTCGTATCTTGAAGTATATTAAAGGAACTCCTGGAAAAGGATTGTTATATGGTTCTAATAACCATGCAAGAGTTGTTTGCTACTCAGATGCTGATTGGGCAGGATCTCCTTCGGATAGAAGATCTACATCTGGATATTGTGTCTCCATTGGTGGTAACTTGATCTCATGGAAAAGTAAGAAACAAAGTGTTGTGGCAAGATCTAGTGCAGAAGCAGAATATAGAGCTATGGTCTCAGCTGCCTGTGAATTTGTTTGGTTCAAGCAATTACTTAGAGAGTTACAATTTGGAGATGTCACTCAAATGACACTTGTGTGTGACAATCAGACTGCTCTTCATATTAGTTCTAATCCTGTCTTTCATGAGAGGACCAAACACATTGAGATTGACTATCATTTCATTCGAGAAAAGATTATGTCTAGAGATATCAAGACTGAGTTTGTTAACTCAAGTGATCAGTTAGCAGATATTTTCACTAATTCTTTACGAGGGCCTAGAATTGATTATATTTGTAATAAGCTTGGCACATACGATTTGTATGCTCCAGCTTGAGGGAGAGTGTTTGATATAGTTTGATATTGTTAAGATATTGTTAGATATTGTTAACCACAATATCAAACAATATCTTCTATTTATTCTGTTTACTTTCGGTTACTCTTTTAGTTGTACATCTCTATTATAAATAGATTACCCTATGTGTGATTTATACACAAGGGAGATTAATTTCAAACCCTATTTCCTCTATATTCAACAGTAACCACAACCCAATAATCATTGTTGCTGCTACCGAGGATGAACCCAATCCAACTACTACCGAGAATGGGCCTAAGAATGATGAAGGAGTTAGGCCCAAATGCATCACCAAACGTCCATCCAGCTGGGAGGACTACGAGCACTAAATATTTGTCAAATCTATTAGAAGACAACTGTCATTCACTTAGTAGAAGTTGTTATTTTTCATTTTGATATTATACATTCTATTACAATTCTATTATGGTTTATCTTATATAAGAATTGTAATGTTGATATGAAAGGGGAAAAAAATAAGACGTATAAATTTTGAAACATCTTTCTCTCTCTTTTTGGAGGACTGATGACCTCCTCCAATTCAAGATTTCATTTTTCTTCAAGTATCAATTTGTTGTTTTGATTAATCTCTCCCATGGTTGAAACTCGTGCTCACCAATAGGCACAAGCTCTTTCTCGCCTTGAGGAAGGTGTTGCCAAACTTAGTTAGGCACAAATTACCGTGACCAACGATGAGCTCCCTCCACTCCAAACTCGACAATCTCACCCATCGTATCTTCACCCTTGAATGTTGCTCACCTTCGTCTTCTAATTCTTAACACCCCAGTCTGTGCATGAAATTGGACACCCCTCGATTTAATGGGACAATTGTTGTGTCTTGGATTTTCAAGATTTCCCAATTTTTTTATTGCCATGGTACTCCAGATGCAAATCACCTTTGGATTACTGCGTTTTACCTTGACGATCCTGAAATCCACTGTGAGCTCCAAGCTTTACAACCTCTCACCCTTCCCCGGGATGTTGCCCTCGCCAAATTACAGGAGGATAAACTCAATGACGCCAAACGCCACACTCGTCCCTATTTTCACCACCCACAAAATCCTATCCCTGCCCTCCCTTTATCCTTTGCACCACCATTATTACCTTCTCCCCACACCATGCTATATGTACAGACGTTCCCGTCATCCTCCAGACTCATTCTTTTTTAGTAGATATTTTTATCATGGACCTTGTAGGCGCAGATTAAGTCCTTGAAGTCGATTGGCTTAAAACCCTTGGCCCCATAGTCACTGACTATTCCCGCCTCACAATGCATTTTATGAAGGATGCTAAATGGGTTGAAATTCAAGAGAGGTCCAATATGGTCCTAGCAGAGATAAATCACCATCAAGTTAAACACCTAGCTCAAACCAATGGAATCGCAGCTTATTATCACATCTTTATTGAGTCAAATTCTACTGTAACTGTTTTGCCCCAAAAACCCCTCTCATACCCTATCTCTCACCTTTCCCCTCCATTATAACAACTGCTCAAATGCTTTGCCCCTATTTTCCACACCCTTCACACTTTACCTCCATCACGACTCACTAATCACCATATCCATTTAATATCAGATGCCTCTCCTGTCAATGTCCACCCCTACTGCTACCCCCATTTCCAGAAACAAGAAATTGAGCGCCAAATTGATGACATGCTTCGTGATGGCTTAACCCAACCCAGTCGTAGTCCCTATTCATCACCGGTCCTCCTTGTTCGAAAGAAAGACTAGATATGGCATGTTTGCGTTAACTACCGGGTCCTCAACCCTATTACTGTCAAGGATCAGTTTCTCATACCTTCTATTGACGAGCTCCTTGATGACCTTCATTTCGCGAAATGGTTCTCTATGCTCGATTTGGCCCAAGATTTTCATCAAATTCGAATGGCTCCTAACGATGTTAATAAAACAAAATTCCGTACCAATCACAGTCACTATGAATACCAGGTGATGCCTTTTGGGCTTTACAACGTCTCCTCCACCTTTCACGCAACAATGAATGAGTTATTTTGTCCTTACTTGTGCCGCTTTGTCATCGTTTTCTTTGATGATATTCTTGTTTTCAGAAAGGATTTTGAGGAACACATTCATCATCTTGAGTTGGTTTTTCGTTTGCTTCAACGGGACAAATTTTTTTCTCAATTACTTGAAATGTATTTTTGGTCAATAGAAAATTGAGTATCTTGGTCATATTATTTCCGATGCTAGAGTGGAGTCGATTCCTTCGAAAATTGAAGCCATGCTTGCATGGCCAACACCATCTTCTAAGAAGTCCTTAGTGGGTTCCTAAGCCTTACGGGGTTTTACTGTCATTTTATTAAGGATTATGTTAAACTTGTTTTTCCTTTGACTTCTTTATTTCGTAGGGATTGTTTCTAGTGGAACTCAAATACACAGGTGGCCTTTGAGGCTCTTCATCGTGCTATGACTCATGCACCCGTCCTCGCTCTACCAGAATTCACCTCTCTATTTTATGTTGAAACATATGCCTCTGGTTCTGTCATGCGTGTTGTTTTGTCCTAACATAACCACCTCATCGCTTATTTAAGCAAACAGTTTTGTCCAAAGCTTTTGTGTTCCTCAACTTATATCCCAAAGTTTCACGCAATCACTACTGCAGTCAAGCGTTAGCGCCAATACCTTTTGGGTCACCCTTTCTTTATCCTTACTAACCATCGTAGTTTATATTATTTGATGAACCAAGCTATCCAAACCCCGGAGCAACATGTCTACTTAGCTAAACTCCTCGGATATGACTACACCATTAAATACAAGGCCAGAAAGCACAACCTTGTTGTTGATGCCCTCTAACATGGTTTTTGCCCACTAGATCCTCTCTATTCTACAATTTCAACTCCTTGTTGATCTGAAGAAGGAATTGGCCACTTTACGAATTTCACACTTTGCGCCAGCAAGTGACTGTGTCTCCCGACTCTCACCAGGATTACAAGTTTGTTAATGGTTTAATACCTCACAAGGGTCGTATTTGGTTACCAAAAAGTTGTTCTTTCATTCCCATCCTCTTGATTGAGTTCCACACCTCTCCACTTAGTGGTCATATGGGTGTCGCAAAAACTTAGTTGCCTTTCAGCCAATTTTGTTTGGTTGAGAATGAAATAGGATGTTCAACGTTTCATTTCTAAATGCTCTATTTACTTACAAACCAAATTTGTTACTAAGAAAACCCCTGGTCTACTTCAACCTATACCACCACCCTATGCTCCGTGGGAGGATCTTGCTCTTGATTTTATCACTGACCTTTCTGTTAGAATCGCACAGCGGATGTTCGCGTGTTCGGACAAAAACCAAGAGGGGGTGAATTGGTTTCTTAACAAAAATTAGGTTTTCAAAATTTTCTCCAAATTTTACCGATTAAAAAGTTGTGTAAATGTAAATAAGATAAAGATAGAGTCTTACACAGGAGATTTATACTGGTTCGGATCAAAAGACCCTACGTCCAGTTGCTAATCACTCAAACAGAGGATTAACGCTGTCACTATAATCAAAGTTGTTACAAACAGATAACAATTGAAAATACAAAGTAAAGAAAACACCTCTCTTGAAACCCACAAGAGATGAATAACAGTCTTCCCCAGAGACGGCACAACACACAATCCACTAAGAACTCCACTTAGTGATTCTTATCGCTTCTAGCCCACACTAGGTTCCAAAAGCCCCTTTTTTCTCTAACAAACAGTTCTCTGGCACTCATAGCACTTTTGTTTGAAAAAGGTTGTTCAATTTTTTTGAGTGCCATAGAGAAGCTTACGTAGAGAAATTAGGGTTTGGGAATTGAGATTTTCGGAACTAGGAGTCTTGGGATTAGGGTTTTCGAAAATAGGTTTAATTTGAAGTTGAAAATCAAAATCTGACTGAAATAATCGATTAAATGAAGTGTTAATCGATTATTACAGAGTCAAAATCAACAAAACCCCAAAACTCTCTGTTTTAATCGATTAAAAGCCCTATTAATCGATTAACAGGCCTGTTAATCGATTAACAGGTGTGTTAATCGATTATTACAGTGAACAGATACAGAAAATGGTTTTTCTCACTGTAATAATCGATTATCTGACCATTTAATCGATTAAAGCCGAGGCAAACTGATAAATGTGAGTTTTTGAAGCTTCTAAAGTGCAGACTATATACCGGCTATCTTAAACTCTAATATTATAAACTCAAACTAATCAAAACAGAGTTATTACACTATAAAACAAGTCTTCAACTCTCTAAGTTCTTTGTTCTTGAATCATCATCAAAATCAACAAGCTTCATGTCCATGTAAGTTCAACGTCAAGTCCTTGAATGTTTAACAATCCCCCCATTTTTTATGATGATCAAAATTTTCTTTTAAAGCCTTGTAATAACCTGTTTTATCTGTCACACTAACAAACACATTAAACATACCAGATAATATTTAAATTCAATCATGAGAGACTTTAAATATTTCTCCCCCTATTTTGATTATAATAAAAAAATGAAAGCTCCTTCTATAACAATCATAAGAGCTCCCCCTCAAAATATGCATAACTTGGAGATAACTCCCCCTCAATCAAAGCATTAAAAGAACACCACACAGTTTATTTCAGAAATGAAATTACATTACAACACAAAAGAAAATAAAAACAAATTTTAAATTCTTCACTATCATCACTATGAAAGTGTGCAACAAATCTATTTTCTAAATGACACACTTTTTCATCTACATCAGATATACGACGAATTATTTCCTCATACCGTACTCCAGAAAGAGTGAAGAATGCCGGCATCCTCTGATTCATATCAGATAACATATCTTCCATAGATTGACGAGTTTCAGGATGAGAAGAGGAAGTTCCAACACTTTGGATTTGATCAGAAGGAAAATCAGCAACAAGAGGCATATCTTCATCAGAATCTTCATTATCGTCACCTTCGTTTGGAACGTCATCCTTGTGAACATAAATATTGTTGACACGCACCATTTGGAGTTGGGTCAATGTGTTGTCCAGCATGCGGTTTAAGTTATTCGTTTTTACTGTTTGTTCACCTTCGACATTTACTCCTTTGTATTCAAGAATGCGAGAGACGAGGAGGGCATATGAAATTTTGAGGTGGGATGGCGTTTGGCTTTTAACATAGTCATGGTGACAAGAATGCTCCAATCTAAAGGCTCATTTTTCATTATGGCATGAATAATACGAAGATCAATTGAAGAACGTTAAGCATGATTCGTAGCCCGAGGACATAGGATCCAGACAAGTAAGTGCAAAATCATGCGTTCCTCCTTCTTCAAAGGTCCAGCTAGAAGGAGACGCCCTATTTCCATGGAAGGGTTTCGCAGAAAAGAGCGGTAAACCATGATCCTGTCAAAATCATCTAACTCACCAAACACGTTAATAACATCTTCTCTTATAGGAAAATGGGCAACGTTCTCCAAAATATCATTATCAAGAATAATTGTTACCCCCTTTACACGAGAGGTAGCAATTTGATCTCTAAATTTGAACCTAGAGTAAAATACCCTAACTAGGTCAGGATAATACGTACCTTGCATTTGGATGAAAGGGAGAACTCCTTAAATTTCAAGGAGATTAGGAAAGTTGAATCCCCTATTGATGAACTGATCACCAATAAGGAACTTAGGAGAAATAATACCATGTTCCTTCCAATAAGACAGAAATTATTGTCGGCCTTCTGCATCAGAGATCTATCCTTCTACAGAATTAGGACGGGGATGAGATGAGGGTGTAGATCTTCTTCTGGTGGGAATTTTAGCATGAGAAGATGAGACCATTGTAGGATTAGAAGAGTAACAAGAAGATTTAGGAGGACAAGTGATGTTAAAAGAAGGCAAGAGTGATAGAATAAGGCAAGAAAGCTTGAATGCAAGAGATAGAAGTGAGTAGAAGTGAAATGGAGGTCCCTATTTATAACCAAGCATCTCTAACGGTCATGTGAAAGTGAATAAGGGTCAAGAGAGTCGTTGGCAACGGCTAGGAATCAAAACTTGCCAGGTTTAATCGATTAAAACTTGAATTAATCGATTAAACCAGTACCAGAACCATTTAATCGATTAATTTGAGCTGTTAATCGATTAACACTGAGTTTAATCGATTAATGGGCGAGTTAATCGCTTAATCTAGAGAG